TTGATCTGCCCGTGCACACACACACACACACATATGGACGGGAAGCTCCCACCCCTGTCCTCCAATGGTCTCGATGAAACGCCAAAACTCTATCTTGTCAAGATTTCCATCTCCCGTCTTGTCCTGAGTGTAGAGAGCACCGTGTTCTCGCAAGAAGCTTCTGATAGCTTCTGGAATTTCAAGCTGGCCCCTTGATATTCGGACCCCCGCTGCCCTGCCGACACGAACAACGTGGGGCTAGACAGGACGACATCATCAGTTTCCGGTGCATGCTCAGGCACTATTTTTCGGAAAATCCGCTGCACCTGCTCCTGTGGCAGCTGCACCAACTTCTCTCGAAGGTGGTTTAGACCTTGTCAGGTCAGTCTGCAAAATGCTGCCGCAACAGAGAGCCAGCAGTGCGATATGCGTTCCGTTCTTCTGGCCGGCTCAGATTTATGAACATCTGTCAGTATCGTGCGGCGCTAACGAGACTTGCGGTCCACATCTCAGACAACTGAGCCAACTACGAAAATTGTTCGTCTGGAAGACCCATCCGAGAAATTCATCTTCGTCGATGCCACCGGACTTGTTGATGTCAATTTCCTGATACAGAGGAGCTCAAATGAATTTACAGCCATGTGCCCGGCAAAACCCTGTGCCCCGCCCTGATTCCTCACAGCCCCAACCCCAAGCAACCGGTGCATTTTGAAATCGACCTTGATCTTCGCAACTGCTGTGCCCGCAGACCAAGCACCGAAAAAAAATGCATGGATAGGCTGCCATTCAATCCCAGTTGCCTCGAAGATGGCTTCGCCTCGGGATAAGCAAATCTGAGCTGCGATTTTCGCTGAGACGCATATCGAATTCATGCATCGGGGTATCAAGCACGAAGTGCAGGGACGAGTTACTGAGTTCCTCGTTGATGTTGTCTTGCAGCCGGCTGATGCCTGCCAGCTTCACACATTTGCAGATCAGACTCTGCGCTCCGGAAATTGCTGTGTTGTGTTGCATACGCTTCCTTCGACACCACAGCAACCTGGCCTTTCAGAAGGTTGTAGAAGGTTTTTCTGTCGAGGTGGCCTGGCAGTGCAGTGTGATTTCCTCACACTCTGAGACGCTAAGATCAGACACTAAGATCACTGAGACTGGATACTATGTTGGGAGAGACTACTGGGTCAAACGGCCACAGCTCTACTGTAGCCGCTCAAGTTCACACGGTGGCAAAGCTGCTGCCATGTTGAACACTGCCAAAGCGTGAGGCAACAAACAGAAGCCTGTTTTCTTCACGTCGTAGAGGGTGAATGAGTCACGAGCCGTCCAATAGTCCTCAGACTGACTGACTGACTGACTGACTGACTCTGGAATATGCGATTCCAAAAACGCAGGAAGTATCGACGAACAGGCGATGCAGCACATGTCATCCAGAGCTGAGAAGTGAGATGCAATTAGCTGCTTGCTTAGGCCAAGTTGCCAGCTGGCGGATGCTCTGTGGCAGTGACCCATCCTGCCCAAGCCATTTCTTCGTCTCACCTGGGGGCAATGGGACCGTGCTACCGGAGCCTGGCGGCTTGACGATTCTGCAGGCTGCTTGACTGCTTGCACCGTACCCGGCCAGTGAAAACCTGGCATTGTGCCCTGCGCCTCGTTCCCTTCGCTCATCCTCATTTACCATGTCGCGCAGCTCGTGGACCAACTCTGTTGCACGCTGCGTCCTTGCTGCATACCCAGCCGCGTGCAGCCCTGGATTTGCTGCAAACCACTACCCACAGACCGCCTTCATACTGGCCGTACTGCCGTAAATCCGTCGCTTTTCAGCCGGGGTGCTTGGAAACTGCTCGTTCAACTGAGCGAGAGCCTGAACATCATGAAAGCACTTTCGGACACTTGGGGCCCAGGCTAGGACGACCCCAAAAATGGCCTTCAGCGGCCTTCAGCCGGGGCCCCACTTCGTACAATGCCGCACTTCGTAGCTGCAACTGCAACGGCTCAACGAACGTGGCGGCACAGCTGCGCCTCGCTCTGCATCCTCCCGTGCGGGCGGAGGCGACGAGCTACCTTTGTGGAGGGGGAATGCTGGTTAGACATCATGAGCCAGGCTGCGCCAGGCTGCGACCCCGAAACTTGTCCACGGAGGAGATGTCGCGCATGCCTCGATGCAGCTCACAGCTACGGACCACTGGGAGAAGCAATCTAGCAAATCCTATCGGGCCTGACGTCACTAAACCTGCTAGAACACTGAGCGGCATCACTCGAAAAATCTCGAAAAGCTAACATTATTCAGGGTTCCAAAGGTTGCACCTTCTGCCTTCCTGTGCATCCGAAGACAGACAGGTGGCTCACACCCACGGTGAAGGCGTTGGAGGTCTGCGCGATGGCGCCGGCCGACGCCGACGAGAAGGTTTTGCCCATGGCAGGCAGGGCCGAATGCTTGGAGCCGCTCCGGGACGCATCTGCCTGAGAGGTGCGCGTCATGACCTGAGTCTGAGCTTCTGAGGGCAGGATTCAGGACTTCGGCGCGCTGTCTCTTGCGCACAGGCCGACACTGTGGGACAGGCAGCAGGCTTTTCGTCAGGCAAGATCAAGCTTTTGCAACCTTGTGGTGACCTGGTGGTCGGTCGATTTCGGCACCTTTTCAGCAAAGCGGCTGATTGCTTCGAATCATACCTGGCCGCACTGGCCTCAAAGACCGCACATCAACGCAAAGAGCAAGTGGTACAGCTTGGGGAACTCAGGCCGACTAAAGCCACGAAAGAAAGCGACATGCACTCAACATGCACAACACTGAGCATCCTGAATCTGCGCTTAGGTTTTGCGTCGCAGCAACTTGTGCTGTCGGCCAGGATGCAGCAAACAGTGGACAGCATGCCCTTCATCTTGCCAGGACACGGATTGCTTCGAGCTATATCTTGCTGCGCTCGCCTTGCACATCAACAGCGCTGATCTGGTATGCGGGAGGAAGTAGTCAGAGGCTCCCAGGAATGAGCGTACAGGTTGCGAGCATGCTGTAGTACTCGTAGCTTTTTGCAAGAGGTCGGTGCTACACGGCTACCCCACCTTCAAGAAACGCTGCATTCCAAGGGATTGTCCGGCGTGAGAGCTCAGGCTCTGTGTTTTTAGTGTTCAAGCAGACATCCGGAGTGCACTAGCACTTGGGATCACTTGGGGGTGACTAGCCCCGTCTCCCCAAGCCCAAGATCAGGGAGGACAAGGCCCCCCTGCCTCAACATACAGTACTTTGCATGTCAAGGGTTCTGTAGCGACGAAAAGCCGGTCTCAAGCTGGAACCTGCGATCACGGGCATGCTTGCAAGCGTCCTTCGATGTCATTCTTGTTGGGGGAGAGGAGCCAGATCCTTCGAGGCAAACACCAGCAGCCGGGAATGTCTTGTTGGGCTGAAAACCAGTCATGTTACTCCGTGTCTCTCCACATCTACGAACTGATGTGCGGTCCCGCACTTGTCGCAGCTCCAGAACATGTACGAAACAAGAATTTCTGACACACTATTCCCGCCGTCCTCTGCTTTGCTTGGAGCCTTGCCGACCTTCATCAGCACGCCAGTCTTAGTTGCAGACAGGGAAACCAAGGATCCTAAACCAACCAAGCCGAGCCCTTACGTGCAGCCGAAGCGGCTTTGAAGGCTGCGGTAGAGCAGTGGATGCCCCGCGGGCAGACTGTCGGGTCTCGGAAGCCAGTCTTTCTGAGCGCCTGTTTGGCCACAGCTGTGCAAAAAATGACACCGCTGCAAGACTCATGGTTTGCACACGTACGCGAGAGACACTAGACGGGGACACTACCAGTAACAACACTCTGCGAAGTTTCCTCAGCCGCTGTGCCCGCTATGTGAGGGCAAACGAGGTTTCTCCGGCTCAGCAGCGACTGTTACAAGCTTGGACCGCTACAGTACCCGCGACCCGCCTTGGGACCACTGCTTGTGGATGTGTATTTGGTTGGCACCTCAGGGCCCGGGCGGCCCGGCGTGCATGCTGGGAAGGACGGAAGGACGGGTGGTATCCCCAGGGCGATGCGCTTTGCACATACGCGCAGCCTGCTTCAGCTGAATTTCTTTGCTCTTTCTGTGGAGATTCGCTCTGAGTCCCTGCACGAACCAGCTGGTTGTTGGACGCAGTTGCGGAAGAACTTCCTGTCAAAGTCTTCAAGGCCTGGCTCGCGAAGCTTCGGTGCCACGCCGGGGGGCCGTCAGCACTATGCACAAAGGCAGAGAGACGCATAGCACTGTTTGCCTGTGCCCCAGCCACTTGCAGCATCGGCAGTGTCCGGGACCTCGGGGCGGGGGCGTCTAGGAATCAAGACGTCGATTAATTCCCCATGCTTTTCCATGCCGACGCGAAAAAAAGGCTCAGCGCAGCCTGGCCACGATTGCATCTTTCGATGTGGCGAGCCCGGCACGGACTGCCTGCAGTCAGGCACAAGCAGTGCATGCGACCATGCGTCGGACCCTGGCGAATCTGGAGAGCTCTGCGACTCTGCGACAACCGCCGAAGCATCCAAAGCTGTCTCGACTCCCCAAGGACCGCCAAGATGCCCGGGATGTAAGGACACGGGGCGAACAGTGCTCGGCAATGCGAGTGCCATGGCGTCGGATTGGGAGCGACGTCAGCCGGGAAACTAGCGTAGGCTTTGCAGCTCATCTTCGAGTGCGATCTGCTAGTCCGTAGCTGCAGCTCAAGCGTTCAGAGAGGTTTGTACAGGCTAGCGGGCTTCGGGTCCGTTTGTGTAGATGGGGTGGGGTGCGGGCGGCGGGCGGTGGGGGTGTCCCGCTGCACTCATGCAGGAGGGGTGCTAGATCCGCTCTAGATGAACTTCTCCGGGATACTTTCATACAGATGGGGCGCAGTTGAGAGGCTTGGCCTCTTTGCACCCTCTAGAAGCTGCACATGGTCAACAAGGCAAGCAAGTCAACACGCACATTCTGTCGCCCTCGAATCTGAAGAATAGTGAAGATGTGAGAGGTTGCTATAAGCCGGCACCACTCAATGCAAAGCCATGACACAGTCTGCCTCTTCCTTCGAAGACCAGCAGCTTCCTTGTGCGACGCAGGATGCTTCATGCTGATGCTCTGCCTCAGAAACTCATAGCAAACTGGTGGGCATCTAGTTCATCACGGTCCTGAACATTCCGAAAGAGGCTTTGGAAGGCGTTCCCCTCCCAAATAGGCAAATCTCCTGACATCCAGCTGGCTTCAGGCTTCGATAGCTGACAGCTTGAACTCAGTTGAACATCAGACAGCTTCACCAGAAAGTGTTGTCTGGTTCAACAGTATCGGTATCTGCTTCATCTTCATGACGAGATGCAGATGCATTGATAGCCAAGAAGATTGCCCGTGACTCATGACACCAGATAGAAGCCAAAAACGCCGGGTGGGGTCCTCTCAGCAGGTCATTCTTCAGCAGACGGCCGCTTGGATCCACAAACCTGAAGCCGGCACGGATTCAAATCCTAACTCTCAGCGTGAAGAGAGCAGACAAGCCACGGATACTCCAAGGACAGAAGGAAGACCATGAACGTCCCCGCTGCCCAAAGATCCACCTTCAAGCAGAGGCATAGACACTCTTGCACAGTGCGTTCACCTTCCGGAGTGGTTGGCTCGTTCCAAAACTCTGCTGGCACTCACTGCGGCTGGCCTTGCAATCGTACCCGTTTGACTTCGGCAGCATGTGCCTGATTGGCTAGTTCGACTTGTGACATCTGCAGCTGGCTCAGGTTCTACAGGCTCAGTCGGGTCTCTGGCATTTCTGGCGCCATGAAGGCTGGCGTGCCTGGGCTGGACGAGCGAAGGCGTCTTAAAGGGTTCTAGGGGGTTCTCAAAGGTTCTCAGAACGAAGCCCAGCTTCTCCGTGAGGAGCTTCTCTCCGAGTCGCACGGCCTCCAAGACTCCAAGATCGCAACAGAGATTTCAATCCTCCTGCCGTTTCCTCCTGTCCTTGAGAGCTAAGAACCCTGCAATCCCGAAGTCTCCCAGCCGAAGCCGAGAGTTGGAGTCTCGTGCGTCACCTGCTTCTCTGAGCTGCTCGGGCATGCACGGCAGGGGAACAGGGCCGGCCTAGAAGCATCGCATTCTGCGGCTTGATGTCTCTGTGGCAGATCTTCCGGGAGTGGAGGAACGCTATTCCAGACCTCAGCAAAAGCTTGCACAGTCACCCCCCCCCAGCGGAAAAAACCTAAGTCTGAGTCCCATGCAGAAGTTGCTGCATGAAGGCTGCGCAGCGGGCTTCGCTGAGACCGTCATTTAGACTTCTGGCTGCATCCTGCCGCAAACCCACCGCTGCTGCTGCAGCTGCTCGTTTCGCGGGGATCCATCCCGGCTCTCCACCACAACGGATACTGAACGTCCTCCAGATTCCCTCCATCACAAAGCTCAAGCAACAGGTAGAACTTGTGGCTGGTGTCCTGCCAGGCTTGTCGTGTGACACTTCTTTGGTCGAAGACTGCCCCTTTCAGGCGGTAGAGCTATTCAGCTACTCCGTTTGTTTTTGTCGCGCAGGATTTGCAGCATTATCGTGACAAATCAAATTTTGTCGCTGGTCACTGGTGCCCGGTTTTGGAGTGCAGCTTCACGGGGCATCCGGAAGAGCGGGTAAATTCGAATCATTTATTTGGCTGCATGTCCACAGCAATTGACAGTGCCGAGTCTTCCTTCCCACGAAAATGTTGTGCGGCAGTGTTGCGTCTGTAAGCAAGAAATGGCGCTTCTTGCGGCACCAAGCACTGCAAAGTACAAGTAGGCAACTCAAGCAGAAACTGGCTCCAGGAAGTCGTAGAGCTGAACAAACCAAGGTTGCCCCTTGCACTCGCCTCGGCGAACTGAGGCATTCAGAACTTGAGGTTGTTACTGTGGTATCCTGTCCCTCGGGGTGGGGCGCATAAACTCGACCTCGGCCGTAACCAGCGTGTCAGGAACCTGCAGGTGGCCGGAGTGCTGACAGGAACGCGGGTAAGCTACGCGTCGGTGAAGACTGGCGGTGCGCCTTCATTTGCTTCATTTTCGCTTTGTCTAGTGACTTCACCGCGACGGCCTTGGCCACTGGCTTCATCCGACAACGATGCATCATGTCATATCATGTCATTTCTATTTGCGAAGACTACCATCGCACTGCCGTGCTTCGTGCACACTGCACACCTTCGGCATCAAATCCCACACCCTCACTCTGCATCCTCCGAGTGCCAGGCGCAGCCTCCTCAGCAACCCAAGAGCAACTTTTCCGAACATTTCTGGGACAGATCTCCAAGAAGTTGCGAATCCAGCTTTGTTCTCACACACCAGTCAAGCCTGCCATAAGTGCTGGCGGCACACCATCCAAGTATCGGCCACGCCAGACAGTCCCAAATGCCCTGAGCTGCAATCAAGCATTGATTCTGCGAACAATGGATTATTGATTATTGCTACGAGTACTCAGAATGCACATCCTTGCAGTGCTCGGTAACAGGTCCGGTGAGGCAGCGCTCGCCGCAGCTCTGAGCCGACGGCCCGGATCCCAAAGGCTTGGAACTGGACGAAACCTCCACGACATCTTCCAGCCTGGCCGGAAGAATAACATGGTCGACTTGTAGGAGCCCAGACAACACTGAAGCGCCCTGCCTTCTTCCGACCACTGCATCCACCGCTTGTTGCAGCACGGATGGAGAGGAGGACCTTCGGACTTCGGTGTTGAGATGTGTTGAGTCTTGAGTATTCGAAGAACTTTCAGCTCATGAGCCCGTGCTCGGCCCCATGCTCTGGCGGACTTCGAGGGGCGCGCAGCGCTGGCTTTGGCACTGCTTTAACTTTGGGAGCCTCAGATGAGGTCCCAGGGGCAGTAGCCGCTCAGTAGCACGTAATGAGATGCAGATGTGGGCGAACATACTTCCAGGATCCGCTCAAGGCTATGCGTGAACCCTCACACGCTTGATTCTCGGGCGAGCTTTCAACGGCGCGTGGGGCGATCAGTGCCGGCTTGGGTGCCGCATGGTGCCGCCATGTGCCGCCGGCTTTTCCGCTCGGTCTGGGGTCCTGGCTCCAGCATCTTGCCGGACCTCTTACCACCAGGCGATTTCCCGCTTGAAAAGTTCATGTACCCCCTTTGCTGTTGAGTATGTGGCACATCCGAATTCAACGCTGTAGAAAGCAGCCTCACACCCTTCCATGCAACAGCTTCTTGTGCCGCTGCTGCTACGGAGGAGCCTCTTCCGACACGGAGGTGCTCTGCCCCATCGGCTGCCTGAGTGCAGCAGCGCCAATCTCCAAGGCTGCGAGTGCTGTGACCAGGAACACCATCTCGCTTGCTCAGGCAGCTGCCCCGCGGACACGTTCGGGGCGCACGGGCACGGGCTGACAATTTGGAGTAGACCGAGGATTCGATAATCAAGCAAAGTGAGTGTTGGAGTAACGCTGCTTCTAGACGTTTATACTTAATGTTACAACCTCCAAGGACTTTTGCTTGTGTCCTCTCATGGCAACCTTATGGCTCTCACTCCTGGGAAATGTGGGCCAACTCGAGCCGGGGCATGAAGGACAGTCACATTAGCGTTTTCAGCATAAGCCGCCTACTTCTGTGGAGGCCTGCAGTCCGGCACTGAGAGTCGGAGCAAGGCCCGGGCCCGAGCCGATGCAAAGCGACTAAGCTGTTTGTGTCCTCGTAGACACGGACATTCCGTGTCCGCACAAAATGGCTCTAGCAAGCTAGCTCCGAGACAGAAGCAGAGTATTTACAATCAATGTGTCGATGTAGTCAGGTTTACTTTACAGGTGCTTCACAATGCACAGCGGGCTTCGTCTGTGCATTCGCCTCGGCATGCGAACCTAGCAAAGCATAGGCATAGATATCAGATACGAGTATCGTATAAATCACAAGGGTGTTGGATTCGCCTGTGCCGGCCTTGTGCCTGACAGCGGGAGCACGCGCTGCAGGCCCGCAAGCTCCGGTGAGACTTCTGGGACATCAGGAAGTATAGGTGAGCGTGAAGAAGGGCAAGCCAGCCTGGGCGGATGAGGGACCGTTGCGGTGTCCGTTCAGCAAACTTTCACACCATGCCAACGATCACAAAGACTGTCAAGAAGGATATTGGTGTTGCAGCTTCCACCACCTTTTTTCTCGAGCGGTCGCGAGAACCTGCCGTCGCACGGCATAGGCGTCGCCGACCCTTAGCAGTCAAGCCAATGGGATTGCCCCAGCAGCACCTCTACCTCTGTCTGCACACTGCGCGCATGAGCCAGCACAACTTGCAGGATGTCGACCCGAAGTCGTTGCTGCCAGGTAACAAGAAGCGAACAAAGTTGTCACCCCTGAGAGGGCCGACAGCCTCAGTCCAACAGAAGGCAAAGCCCCCAGTCTAGATCACCTGTGAAATTCGCTAGCTATTCAACACCTCCGTGCACCAACGCTCCAACTCAAGACCTCAATGAAGGGGGCCCGCTTCTCAATTCAATTCCTGCTGGTTGTAGCTGCATCTGACTAGCTACATTGCACGGAGACCAACCGGCCACATCCGTCTGCATGCCTGGATCGTTTCAAGTCGCAACGTTACAGCCGCCGGCTGGACATCATTACTATAGTATATAGGTGAATGCCACAATGAAGAGTATCGCAAGACACAAGCAGACCCCGCTGCACTCATTCGAAAGTGTCCGAGTGTCGAAGACGTTCGGGGAAAGCACCTGATCGGAATGCTTGTCGAGGCACATTTAGTTCCAGCCCATTATGCTAGTGGATCCTTGTGGCCTACACTACAGCAGTTATTGAGTCTTCAGAAGAGGCTTGCGCTAGTCGGCCTTCCCCGTCTCCGCGTCAGCCAGCTGGAAGGTCGCCTGGCGCGTCCCTCCGTCCCCCAACCTGAACGCACCACCACAGCTTCCCATCAGTATAGCTCTCCCAAGGCCTCGTCTATCGCCAAGAACTGCGGATGACTGCTCAGCTGACCGTCCTTTCTGAGGTCAGAGCTCGCAGCTACGAAAGCGCTGAGACGGCCCGCAATGCAAGCTGCGACAGCTCGGCATTTCAGCCACAGCTCGCGCGACAGCCAAAGAACCCTTCCCGGCCGTGCGGTGCTGCGGCGCTCTTGGGCGTTCCAAGGCGGCACGGCGCAGAGACGCCGGTAGCCAGCTCAGCTGCGGCGTGGATCCAAGCAGCAGTGCCACGACGGAAACCTCTCCAGGCGCGTGCACTCTGGACATCTCTGGACTGCGTCAGCTGGCGGAGTGGAGCTGAGATCGCGGCATCGGAAACGTAAAGCAGCTCTTGCGTTGGTCCACGCACTCGGCAGCTCCCGTCGTCCTTGACTTCCAGGAGCTCCGACTCTGCCTAAGATGGGAATCTGTCAAGTCCTTGGCCGTGCGTGCCTTGCCTGCCTTTCTCAAGTGCCTCCGAACTGCCAAAGGCGTGTAGCGCTCGTCTTGAACTGCTCCAGTCATGAGCTGCGCGAGCCACTCCTCCTCCTCGTACATTCCGTTCCCAGTGTAAGTGCCGAACCTGTCCGAAGTCATCAGAAACTCTGAGGCTCACCGAACTAAGGTCCATTGCTGCAGATGCATGTAGGCAAGGCACATTTTCCCGACCTTTGTGCTCAGCGCCTTTCCGCGAAACCTGAAGTTTGCAGCCGAGCTCAAGGGCTGGCCCCGGGCGAATGGCAGCCCTGACTCACGATCCTCACAACCCGTCACCACCCGATACGATAGCTGAATATCCGGAGTTCTGCTCGGCCTCTGAAAGGATAGTATGGATAGTATACGAGAAGAAGCAAACCTGCAGCTCGATTCCGTGCAACCAGAAAATCTGCACCAGTAGCATCCTGTATGCAAGGTTGTAGACCCTTGCCGAAGATTTACACGCGCCTGTTGACCCCGTGCAAAGGTCTATGTGCAGTCATGGTACACATGGGTGACCCGCACATTGCCTCCAAAGGAACGTGACGACTGTTCACGGCAGATTTGGCAAACTGGGTAGCATCCCATGTTGCATCGCTGCGTCATGGCTGTATCAGAGGGAACAACCATTCCAACAATGCCATCAGTTTGCCCCCGAATTTCAGTATCACGTGACAGCTGATCCCAACCTCTGCGCAGTGCGTGCAGGATGGCATCCGCTGCACTGAGGCCGGCACCTGGGTCGTTAACTGTCTTCAAGATAACTCGAAGAGACTCCATCTTGCACGCATGAGTCTCTACTGATACTAAGGCATTGGCCCACAACTAATAGGTGACCTAGCTTCTCCATAAGAACCTCATTGGCTCATGTTGGCAAGGATTCGCGCTGCATTAAGCATTAGGCTGGCGGTGAATGATCCGATCCCTTATCGTGGCACTTCTGTGATCCGGTAACATGACATCTGCGGCCCTGCAGCTGGAGAATGAATGGGAGGACGGTGCGTGACCCAGGCCAAATCTTCGCCTGCACACACCGCTCACAGATGCAGACTCACATCATCTAAAGCTGTTTCGACACGTCTGCTCTGCTGATCAAATGCAGCAAAGCATTCATCTGCAAAGAGCACCGGCTGGCTACCCACAGTCCACTGCGGGACGAGTGTACGAGAAGGGATAAGGCAAGGTTCAAGGAAGGCCTGGAATGCCCAATGTCTCGGGAAGGTCGGCAGTGCCCATAGCTAGTACCACTGCGTTGGCCTTTTCAAGAATCAAACACATCACATCAGATACCAGGCAGGTTGCCGTGTACTGAACTTGCACACGCCTGGTTTTGCCTTGTGCGGGCTTGCAGGAGTTCGACTACGTCCGGGAAACATGCAGAAGCTGCAGCATCCGAAGCAGACTGGCCATTTGCAGCCAGTCGCTCGGTGTCGGCACCGGCTTGGCACAGGCATTGCACCATCTCGAGCTGCCCTGCTTGGGCGGCTACGAACAGTGGCGTGGCGCCATCTTGGCCTGCCACATCCAGGCTGGACCGTAGCTCCACTAAACACTGGACCATCTCCAGCTCTCCACTAAGCACGGCAATAAACAAAGCGGTCGCGCCGTGCTGTCCGACCCTATTCAGGTCGGCCGATGCTTTGGCAAGAAATGCGACCGTCTGCAAGTGGCCACTTTGGGCCGCGATGAAAAGGGGCGTGGCACCATCCTCTGCCGGTGCATTTAAGTCAGCCTTGGCCTGGACCAAACAACGCACAATCCTCAGGTGCCCATCTTGGGCAGCACTGAACCTGGGTCGATCCAAGCACTTGCAAATGCTAGCTAGCTCGTTGCCGCCACAGCGTTGCTGACGTGGCAAGGAACACATGCACGATTCCAGTATACTAGTAGGTATCAAAGTCCCTTGTGTTCTTGTGTTGCTCCCCTTCGCCTGATACTTGTAGCAAGCAAGTTGCAGCGCCGTGGCGCCATGGAGCCCCGGCCCTCACATCGCATGTCGATCAGTCGCAGTAAGCTTCTGAATCCGATTTGCAACATGTGCACGTGGGTACAATCACGCAGCCGTGGACCCTCGAGTCGACCGAGGCTGCGTCTGTCCAGCTCCACTGATGATTCCACAAGGACCGAAACCTCACTTCACACAAAGATGTCTCTGCTCTTCTGGAAAATCAGGAATGAGAGTGAACAAGGGGAGCTGCTCAGTGCTGGCTCAGATTGCACCAGAGCGAGACACTAGAATTTCTGAGCACTGGAACCTCGAAAGCTTTTTGTAAGCTGCCTTCTAACCTCCTGAACTCCGTCGGAGGGCGGTGTCGGCCACGCCGCTTCGAACTGCGACTTGAAGTGGCGTGATTCCACTCGGACCGGCGGGGTCCTTCGCTGGAGTTGCGCTTCCCATCTGTAGCACTCGGACTTGGACTGTCCTTGTTGGCACGGGCATCGATCAAGAAACGAACCATCTCCACCTGATCGATCAAAAAAGTGTTTGAACAGCAGAGAAAAGCAGCAGAAGCTCCGGACCAGGCACTCCCTATCCTTCGGTCTACTCGGCCTACCTGACCGTACTTGGCAGCAATGAACAGCGGGCTGGCTCCATGAAGACCGATCTTGTCCTCCAGTTCATGGGAGGAGCAACACCCGCATTCAGCCTGTGCTCTTGTTTATCCTGCAAGTGCGGGTCCTTGTCGGCACCAGCTTCGATGAGGTACTGCACGGAGCTAAGCTGGTCATACTTGGCTGCGACAGACAACGGAGTCGCCCCATGTTTGCCCACTTTGTCCTTGCAAAGGTGTTCGTTGCCAAGCAGTTCCAACACCCGCAACCTGGCCCTCGCAAATGGTATGCTGGGCACTGCATGGTGACTGCCAAACCAGTCAACGGCTTCGAACAGTCCTTGTCAGCCCTCGCTTGGACGAGAAATTGAACCATTTCAACCTGCCTCAGCGGCTCGCCACACTGAATCCTGCTGCAACCTACTTCGAGGCTGAGACTGTAGAGTTGAAGCTCTGGGCCAGCCGCCCATGCTTGGCTGCCATGGACAGCAGCGTTCCGCCACAGACGCTGCCTTCAACGTCTGCTTCTGCGGCCACCAAAAGACGCGCCTCTGACGGCCAAAGAGTTGTGTGCGAGCTTTGTGCACAGGTCGTCTGACACCGTGGCCGAGGCACGTCTTCTAGAGATCCGCTCTGCGTCGCGATAGAGAGGGGAGTGGTCCCGTCCAAAGCCTTGAAAGGACATTGCGCGTGCCACATCATGCCATGATATTCCATACCTCTTCTGGCCTAGCCATCGGACCGGGGTACACAGTGCGAAATGCACAGGGCCGGAACCATGCCCTGCTGAACGATGCAATGATCCAGCATAACATGTCTATGAGTGCCAGCCATCTCAGGCAAAGTACTGCCAGCTGCACATCCGCGGCGTGCTCCACCAAGTATCGGAAGATGGGCCACCTTGAAGGCAGGAAGGCAATCTTTTGCAAGGGAATCATCGGCATCCCTTGGCCGACAAGCCACTGGTTGTTGACAGCTGCAATGAGTAGTGGCGTCTCGCCGTCACTCGCAGCTTGGTTCTTCTGCGCACCAGCATTCCTAAGCAGCTCCAATACGCAGTCAGAAGACACATAACTGACTGAGTTATACAACCACGCCACACGAGCAATCGGACGATCTCCAGTCTGCCATACCTTCAAAGCACAAGTCGAACGCGCTTCTCTCTTGAAGCTTTTCTACGCTGACCACTGCGTGACCTGTCTGCAAAGGGAACAAAACCCGCGGACATACCCTATCTCACTAACCTTCGCTTCAAGATAGCCCAGTGGCTCTGCGGCAATGAAGAGCGGTGTCTCGCCGTGTGGTCCTGCTCAACTTATCTGAGTTGCATCCCCGCGAAATTCCGAGCGTGGTCTTCCAGCGCTTGTACGACTTGCTGCTGTTTGGTAGCGATTTGGTCTGTCTGCCCTTGTGGCTTCCACTTGAAACCCTGCAAAGCCGAAGACGTGTTGAAATTGTTGGCCAGGTTCGCCAAGGGAAGTGAGATCTCAAGCACATTCATGTCATTTGTGTCAACTTGAGATCAACGGCCTTGAATCTGAACCATGCTAAGCCACCCAGGTAGCATTTGCAGTCTGGGATTGAAGCAGACTCTTGCATTGCATGGCTTCTCGTTTAGGGGAGCTGGAGGTCTTACCTGGGACCTGATTCAGGAAAAGCCTGCAGGCTTTTCATGTGTGTCCTGAACCACACAGACAGACAGACAGACAGACAGATAGACAGACGGACAGACAGAACGTATGGGTATTGGTGACACAAAGTGCTTGTCCCATTGGCCTGTGATGTTGACATCAGCACCGGCTCCGATGAGGCACAGCAACACCTTTCCGACATTCGTCGAAGTTTGCAAACCCGTCGTCGCATCACTGCGGCGCCGAGATCTCACACGATGGACTTTGTAGGACTTTGTCTGACAGCCCGAGAACTCTTTAGAAATCACGGGGCTTGCGCCTCCTGCTGCCCGTTTTGGGCAGCGCTGTGCAGCGGTGCCACATCGTCTCTGGACACAGCATTCACGTCCGCCCCACCTGCACTAGAAAAGCAATCTCGTTAACTCTTGAGGAAAACCAAAGAGAGCTGGAAAGTCGGCCAGTGCGGGAAAGGGTCAGTCGATCAACAAGCGCATGGACGGCACTTGCCCGCATCTCGAGGCGATGTGCAGAGGTGTGACCCCATCATCATCCTTCGGAGTCACTGTGTTTCCGCACAGGCACTTTCCGTGGCAACAACCGATGTGGAACTTGGATCTAATGCCGTCTGGCAAAAAACTATGCAGCGGTGCTCGATGCCTACACAGGGCAATCTGACTCCAAAATCACCCTGTAGTGCAGCTTTGCGGCTGGCTTGTCAAAATCTGCGCAGGCGTGCCCTCAGTTTCGATGCCGATAACGCTACTATTACTTTCGAGAGGGTATGTTTTGCAACACATCTGATCGCCACAGACTTACATTGTTTACTGGAATACTGCTACGTGGTTGGAGTGTATTGATATAACTATATAACACTAGACTGTAACTATACTGCTTAGCCAGATGGGCCGGATGCCTGCGATGCTCTTGATACGATTATGACTTGGCTGTAAGCATTCCTGCAGGATGCTGTGTTCAGTTAGATGCAGTGTCTGGAATCCCCGGTTGTCGTCCATGATAAGTGCGATGAAACGTGTAAAGGCTAAAGAACGAAAACAGCATTGATTGTGATTCACGGCAACAAGGGCTGAAGGAAAGTGAGCGAGAGTTCCAAGTATGGACGCCTGATCCTTGTCACTTGGAGTGAAACGTCTCGATTTCACCAGCTCTGGTAATGATGCAATGGCTGCTATTAAATAGAGGTTCGGCGACTACTCTTGGGGATACCTGGTTGGTTGTGCCCATGCCATGCAGAAACTGCAGTGCTTGAGGACTCTCCCACTTCATGTCGAGCTTATGCTTAATCCGATTCCCACATTCCTCTTCTCGGTATCCATTTCCGGCTGGACACTACACCGCAGATCAACAAGCAATCCTGCGCTTCAATTAAAGAGCCCTCGACAAAACCGAAGCCCGGAGGTACTCCATGAGACTCGCATCTCATCCCTGGACCTGATCGCACAGTGGCCTTGGTCCTTCTCGGTCCTACATGGAGCCCTAAAGCTTTCCATCGGCAAGGTGCTCAGAGTCTCGAGGACGGCCAAATTACCACCCCGACTGGCCTGCACGAGCCGGTAGTGAATGTCCCAAAAGGTCCACTCGCCAAACTGCGCTTGCAACATGCAGAGCATTGTGCAGGTGGACCTTCCACGCAGCTGTTTCACCACGCTCATCTGCCGTGTCGGGCGTCTGGAAGTTGAGCAATTTAGCCTCAAGCTTGCTCGAAACATGAACTCTACAGTCCAAACTCTCCGTTGCCTCGTTCCGTTGGAGGCATCTTTGCACTGTGGGTTGGCTCTTGTGGCTATCACCGACTGCAAAACCTAGAGGATACCTTCACCCAGAAGCAGCCCGCAAGGGATAGTCTGCCACAATGTGATGCCACAGAGTGGGCAGCAAATTGTTGGGGGGGCTGGCATGCAATCCGAGATTCGGCAACCTCTTTGGCATCGCCTGCAGCAGCCTGCAGAGTGGAAGGAAGCATCCACATATTTACAGGGGCTCAGATGAGCTCAGTGAAGTCTGCTCGGAGATGCCAAAGTGAAGACTTGCGCGCTCTCTCCCGGGACTTGCAAGTCTCTTAGCTGCTCATTGCCATGGCATGCTTGTACAGGATGGGATTCCGGTTGCAGCCGGGATACCGCTGCTAGAAGCTTCGATGTGTAATCCTCCACATAGTCCGTGAAGATAATCTGTATCCTAGGTGGACGACATCTTGAGATTCAGGGTTTCCGACCTTGCAGATCTTGGTTGCCCAAAGAATTTCCGCCCCTTCCCTCCTTGGCAAACCTTAGGAGCCAACTGCAGGGCCAAGGCTCTCGTGAAAAGCTTCAACTTCTTCCCACTCCGTGTCCTGACCGCGTCCCGTGACGAGATCTGCGGCATGTACCGGGCCCGGGAATGTGATGCGGGTGCAACCGATCGCACGTCTTGGGGCAGCCCAGTTGCTTCGGAGAGGACCCTGCTGCCATGCAGGAGCTGCTGCCGAAACACGGAGATACGTCTCTCGTCCTGGGAAGGGACTCTTCTGGAGCATGTTCATTTCTTGCTGCCCAGCGAATCCCAGGAGCGGAAAACTCTGCCTTGATTCGGTGCTTGATAGCGCTGACGGGATCACACGGGCCCTGTATCCGGGGTGGTCGGACACGAAGGTCCTCGATGTCCTGGACGGAAAACTTTCGAATCTTCATCATGCGCGGCGAACTGTTGCGTGGATTCAGTGTTCGGTGTGAATGTGCAGAAATATCACCGGCCACAGTCCAAACATGTCTTGACAGTCAACACAAGGACGGCTTCACTCCATTGTCAGCTCGTGACATGTACAAGAAACCGGGTCCAGCTGCGCGACAAGCTCCCCACTCAGCGACACAATGCGCAACATGGCTGCGCGTGGACAACTGCATCAATCTTCCACGAAATTTGTCGCATAGCTAGATGGAGATCTAAAGTGCTCTGTTGCCTAGCTGCATGGACGGGTGACGCGAGGTCTAGAGGAGGGATGTCCCTGGAGCACAGCATGCCGAGAAACAGTTGTCCCAGTCCTAGTCAAGTGTACATCAAAACGGACTGCCCCAACACATGAATGGCCGCCACTCTTGGCATCTCCTGGTATCGAGTCAACCAGCAGAGACCTGGCCTTGACCTCAAGCTTGGGACCACAAGAGTCCGCCTTCGGCAGAAGCGGACCCCCTAGCATGATCCAGTCCCAATGCTGTGCTTGTGATCGCCATCTGGCATCAGAGTTGACAGACGAATTACCTTTTCCAAGTCTGTCTGTGCATGTGACGTCTCTGGCTCTGACACGCACCAAGCAAGCTGACGTAGCCGACACCTAGGCAGGTGAAGTTCCAGGGCCTCCTCCGCAGAAACGGATATCCTCACGGACACGGCCGTGCGCACTACAGTATCGGTAGACTCGTAGACGGGATTTCCCTGTGAGATCGTGATAACCTGGTAGAAAAACTGAAGCTGTGAAACCCTTTCACGTTACGCAATGTGGCCCGAGTATCTACATATATCTACATGCAATATTCAAAATTTTTCACTTTGCAGCAAATCCTCTGCAGAACACATGTGACGCAGGCATTCAGTGCGTCGTTCATGCAGCACCATCAGTTTCTGCTACGTCTGCCACATGAAACATCAAGTGCTGCAAAAGACGTGAGATGGACAGGCAGCTTCGCGCGTGCTGACGAGCATCTGAAGCTTCCACGAGTCTCCCTCCGGCACCATGTCCGTCACCTTCCCATTGATGAAAGAGGATGGTAATCTGCGTGCATACGCGACGTAGTATTCCTGGGATTGGGCATACTGTGAAGGCCCCATCTCATTTGCCCTGCTACAGCTGCACAATACAAATCTTGCCGCAGCCCATCCTCCAGATACTCAGCGAGCTGCTGCCACAAGCCACCGCGGCACGCGCGAAGCTGCTAGAGCCTGCGCGAGAGCCTAGCTGGCCCCAGTTGCAAAGGAACGCACTCGACATTCAGGCCACAGTGCCTCTGCACTGACTTTCTGGAGCAATTGACGTGCCTGAGCCGCTCAGAGGTCGCTGAGGCTGGTCGAAGCAGGACAGCCCTGCCCGCACGATGCTGTGCGAGGCCTCCTTCGAGCTGTTGCTTTTCAGATGCTCTTCCAGGGAGTAGCCTGCGGCAGAAACTGAAATCCAAGGCGATTCTTCCTGTCGCAAGTTCAGAACGGAGCTGGGCATGTCGTCTTTTTGTGATTAAAATACCATCCCAAGAAACGACAGAAACTCTGGTCGTTTACGCAATTCACAAAGTTTCTCGAGGAACGGCTCGACTCCAGCAAAAAATGAAAGGTTCAGTACCTGCTTAGATGTCTCTGGTCACCTACTGACATGCTTCGAACTTCCAGCGTGGCCGCCCTTTTGGATGAGACGCTGGAAGGTGAATTGCGACGCCTGGAAGGTCCATCCATGAGCCTGGAGATAGTGTCACCTCAACGGCAGGACAGGGCGGTTACGTGCAGCCATGACAAACGCACCATGATGGCAACCTCGACCTCTGCAAACATTCTTGCAGGAAACGAAAGTCTGTAAGTCCAGTGTGCTTGCTGAAACTCCGTGGCAAGCCGCAGTGGAAGGAGACATCGACTGCCAGCTGCCCCCTGGTGCACTGGAGCCTGGAGCATGTCAGTTCTCCAGCAGCACACTGCGATACACTGCGCAAACACTTCGCCAAGGTGCCGATCACCGCATGCCGTAGGGCCGGCTGCTTGGTGGAGCGCAGAAGCGAAAGGCCGCGGCCATCGCCTGACAGGTTTTCGACGACAAAGTGCCATGTTCTGCCATGAGCTGTCCATCTGTCAAGCGCATCCCGCACGACGCCACTGTCACAGATTCCCGATGCTGCTCGACGACTGCTCGAGCCGCTGCACTCTGAACGAGAAAAGTGCGAAAGAGGGCGCACGCCTCTCGCTAAAGTGTGACCTGCACGAGCCTGCTGTGTGTGTGTGTGTGTGTGT